CCAAATTGCATATTTTGCACCACTTGTTTTTGCACTTGCAAGAAAATGCTTCAAGATGCTCCTGGACACTATCCTTTCTTGGCTATTCAGTGCAACAAGATGAAACTTTTGTTGGCATACAGGGCAGAGCGAGCAGAAGAGTTGGACCCCAGCATGCCGCTCTCCGTGTTCTGCAACGCTATCTGGCGGACGCAGCAGAGCACTTGACGCCGGAGTTCCGCTTGGCCGCCAAAAAATTCGAAGGGGCCGAGGGCCCAGAGCAAACCCGAAGCCTGAAACGCCCTCGAACCCACCACTGGTAGGTTCCTTTCGGGGTTCTTAGGGCTGTAAGGTTCGTAAGGTTTTGGGGTTCTTAGGGTTTTAGGGTTCTTAGGGTCTTGTAAGGTTTTCATATTATATATATATATATATATCTTTTTAGGGTCTTATATAGGGTTCCAAGGGATGTCAATGACTCTGCAGCCCGAAACCAGGCCGAACCTCCTCAGCTCCCTGTGTATAGGGTTGATAACAATTATAATAACTTTTATATGGCTTTTGTTGGTAGTCAAAGATCGCTCAAGTCTTGCGGTCTCCTCGAAACAGTCCACGATCCCTGCCAGATTCCGAGCCCCCAATCTTAAATCCCTGAACCCTGAGCGAGCTCAAATAGGCCGTTCGAAGTTTCGTAGGACGATTATGTAGCCGAAATCCCCAAAGACCCAAACAACCCAAGATTCTCAATCCCAACTTCTGGCCAAATCGCTGTAGGGAGGATCCCAAACCTTGCAACATTATAGGACCCAAACAACCCTGTAACACTTGAAACACCCAAGCAACCAGGGATGCTGAAGCCAAGGGCGCTCGAAACCTCAATAAGACTCCCAGGTCCCTGTAATTCTATATGAACCTGAAGCTCTCAAATCAACGTCTGATAACCTCAACCCGAAACCTACGCCGAAGCCTTATAAAACCCTATACACCCCGAAGCGTAAACCCTGAACCCCAAACCCTGATCGAACCGTAAACCCGAAACCCTCAACCCGGAACAACTGTATGACCATTATGAGGACTTTTGTTCAGCGGTTGTTTTCGGATGGTTCAGACCCTGAACCCGAAACCCGCTAACCCGGAATAACTAGACGACGATTATGGACTTGTGTTCGGTTTCGGTTGGTCGAAACCCTGAACCCTAACCCGAAACCCTGTAAACCTTGTACAAGAGAGAGGTGTTTTCACTGGTTGTTTTAGGATGGTTGTAGCCCTGAACCCTATAAACCCGAATTAAACCCTTAAAACCTTTTTTACGGTGGTTGAAACCCTGAACCCTAAACCCGAAACCCTATATAGAACCTTTGTACACGAAACACGTGTTTTCAGTGGTTGTTTTCGGATGGTTGAGTGGTTGTTTTGGGAAGGTTAAGAGGCCCTCGTTCAGTGTGTTCAGACAGACTAAATAAAAGATCTTCCGCGTTTACTTTTTTTTCGACCCGAAAAAAAAGTAAACCGAATCCCACGAATAGAAAAAAGTATCCGGACGTATCTACTGGTATACATATATATATATATGAAACACCCCCCCCCCCCAATTGAGCGGTTCCGGATTATCATATATACTTAAACCGGTTATCATATATCTTAAACACCCCCGCCCATTGAGCGATTTCGGTTTATCATATATATATATATATATATATATATATATATTTAAACACCCCCCTCATCTAGCGATTCCGGCTATCATATACTTTCACCACACCCGACTTTCAACACGCAATACCAGTGGGGGTCAACATATATCTTAAACACCTTCCAATTGGGCGATTCCGGTTTATCAGATATATTAAAACCCCTCCATTGAGCGTTTCCGGTGTATCATATATATATATATACTGCTTTTATTCATTTATGTATTTAGAACGCGCCCCTCATTTGGCGATTCCGGCTATCATACTTTTAGACACGCCAGACCAGCGGGGTTCTTCATATCTCTTAAAAACGCCCGCTGCATGCGAGATTCCGGTCCATCGTGCATCTTAAAGAGGCCATACTGAGTTTGTACTCCAAAAGAGCGGTTTCAAGGCCCGGGCACTGGAAGAACGTTCGGAGTACTAAGTTTGTACTCCAAAAGAGCAGGCCCTGAAAGCGGAAGAGCGTTCCGCGTAATGATTTTGTACTCCGAGCAAGCAGTTTCTAAGCCCGGCCACTGGAAGAGCATTCCGCGTACTGAGTTTGTATTCCAAAAGAGCAATTTCACAAGGGCCGGCCGCCGGAGGAGCGTTCCGCGTACTCAGTTTGTACTTCAAAAGAGCAGTTTCCAAGCCCGGCCACTGGAAGAGCGTTCCGCGTACTCAGTTTGTACTCCAAAAGAGCAGTATCAAGGCCCCCCCACCGGAAGAGGGTTCCGCGTACTGAGTTTGTACTCCAAGCAAGCAATTTCCAAGTCCGGCCACTGGAAGAGCGTTCCGCGTGCTGAGTTTGTACTCCAAAATGACATTTTCAAGGCCCGGCCACTGGAAGTCTGGAAGAGGGAAGGTTTCAAAGGACACGTGTAAATTCCATTGCAGCCGACCAGGCATGGATGTGCAATCAGCCGATGCACAAGATCTTAATACATCCATAGCGTGCTTTTATCAGTTGGGATTGCGCGGTGAAACGCCGCAGCTTTAAACCAATCGTGTTATGTAGGCATAGTTGCTCATATACGCATAGACATTCAGCTACTTGTTACACATACATTTGTGCGCAAGTATATGTATATATATATATATATATATGTGTGTGTGTGTATGCGTATGTGTGTGTGTGTATGTGTGTGTGTGTGTGTATGTGTGTATGTGTCGATATGCAAGTAATATATACCTTTACATATTTATTTATATATATATATACATATATATATATATGTATATCTTAGTCTACAGATACGCTTCTGATGCTTCTGCTCTACAGGCATGCGCTGCGAAGCTTGGTTGCTTGCTTCCTTCCTCGATTCCTTCCTTGCTTCCTTCTTTGCCTGCTAATTTCTTTGCTTGCTTGCTTGCCTTTGCTTCCTTTCTTCCTTGCTTCCATTCTTGCTTGCTTACTTGCTTGCCTTTGCTTCCTTCCTTCCTTGCTTGCTCGCTTCCTCGCTTCCTCGCTTCCGTGCTTGCTTCCTCGCTTCCTCGCTTCCTCGGTTCCTCGCTTCCTTGCTTGCTTGCTTGCTTGCCTTTGCTTCCTTCCTTACTTGCTTCCTTTCTTGCTTGCTTGCTTGCTTGCTTGCCTTTGCTTTCTTCCTTCCTTCCTTGCTTCCTTTCTTGCTTCCTTGCTTGCTTGCCTTTGCTTCCTTCCTTCCTTGCTTCCTTTCTTGCTTGCTTGCTTGCTCTCTTCCTGGCTTGCTGGCTTGCTTGCTTGCTTCCTGCCTTCCTTGCTTGCTTGCTTGCTTGCTGCCCTCCTTGCTTGCTTGCTTGCTTGGGCAGGAGACCGGAAAAAAAATACCAAAAAAATCTGAAAAAAAATACCGAAAAAATACCGCCACCCACATGCTTGCACCAGGAGTGGTCCTGTTGCTCGGGCGGCAGCGGAGGAACTTCGACGCTACTGGGCATGTCGCCTTCCTCTTCCATTCCTGAGATGAACGCACTGGAAGCCTCGTTGAGGATGGATGTTGCGACAAACGAAGATGCTGTTCCTGACTGGCGCTGCAATTGCATCTTCCAGGCCCACACCCGCACGCGGGCACGGAAGGCTTGACGAAGCGTGAAAATGGAATGCCCTCCCTGCATACTCTGCGAGGCACATGCTGCACTAGCAACAGGAAAACCAGAAAGGCTTGATGTAAATTAGGTTCAACTTTAAAACTCAGTTGGCAAGAGGCGGCGTTGCCTTTCTTCTCGCCGCCGTTGTCTTGCGATCCGCTTCGCTTCATAGATCACGCCGCGTCGGACGGCCACGCGGATGCAATATCTTCTCACGATCCTTGGCCGGCTTCATGCAGCTTCTTGCCAACTGATAAAACATGGTGTTGAAAGTTATCTTGGTGTGGGAGTTGGGTCTCAGGTGCACAGAGCGATCTTCCGACTACAAACTGCTAGCAAGAAAACTCGTTCCATCCTGGCCTTGCTCCCCTTCTGCTACGCCTGCTTGTTCGCCCCGACTCTGACAATCAGTAGAAAGGCAATGAGCACATTGCAAATTCCCATCCACAAATACCGTACCAGTGCAAGTTGAGTCCTGGGTGCCTTGTTGTTGCAGGTCGAAGGTTTTCACTGCAAAAGGTGTGAGCTCAGGTTGGGGGATCATGTGGCAGTAACATAGTCTTTCTTTCGGCAGCGTCCGGCCCCCCCCGCCCCCGCCCTCGTACGGACACGCACACCCGCAGTCCTTGGCGGGTGTGTTCCCTCTTTCTGAGTTTTTCCTCTGAAAGGCTCAGCTGTATGGCAGCTGCTGTGCAAAATCACGACCCAAGCCACAACAGTAACGTACTCTCTCTCTCTTTCTCTCTCTTCTCTCTCTTCTCTTCGCTTCTCTCTCTCTCTCTTTCCCTCTCTCTCTCTCTCTCTCTCTCTCTCTCTCACTGTCTTTCCAAGGGCCTGGGGAAGGGGCTCCCCTCCGCCCCTGTGCGAAGCGCATCCCTTTTGGGCTGGCGAGACCGGAAGTGAAGGAGATTAGGCGTGCCCCGTGAGCAGCTATAAATTACACCACGACATACCACAATGTCATGCGAAGAAGGTCACCGTCTCCCTCTCTCTCTCTTCCGGGCATAGGGACCGGTCCAGGCCCCTGGCTCAAAGCCCCCCACAAGTTTTGGAGAAGCCAGGTGCAAAAGCGACAGTGGCAAACAGAGTGAAGTCACGAAGCATTAACTACCGGCTAGCTGGTATTCCAACAACACATGTCCTCTACACTCCACTGTCCCCTCTCTATGCCACGCAGACTCAGCCACCGGTCACCCGCTGATAAATAGCATTCCCATGCAAGTTAAAGGCTGAACTGTCGGAACTCAATAGAAACAAACGACATCGGTCTGGGAATCTACGGTTTTAGCCCCAAAGCAAACACCGCGCGCAGACTTGCCCTTCTTGTCCGAGCGACCGCCCAAGCTGGGGGCACGTCAGTCGTCGGCGCTCAATAACCTGCGGCAGTGCCATCATGTTACGTAGACTGTCGATCTGTCCCACCCTTGATTCGAATTGCAGGCTTCCGGGCTGCAAATCCTTCCGGCCTGCATGAAGCTCTCCCTGGTGAGAAAGAGAACCTCGCACGATGCGACTGGACGTGCTAAATGACGAGAGGTAGACTACGAGTGCAAGGGCGCCTCAATGTAGGTCAAGGCGAAGCCACCGACAGGTCTGATGAGGCTTGTGTCAGAGAGGACGAAGTCCTTCGAGAGTCAAAACAGAGGTTTCTAGGACTGTGTGCACACAGTCAAAGCATTAGACCCTGCCCTGCCAATGTAAAGGCTTAAGTAGTGCATGTTACTTTGTACACATGAGCCTGCAGACGGAGGAGAAGCCAGGTGACGTGTCAGATCGTGACGGAAGGCACAGCAACGTGGAAAAGGGTGCGTTGACATTGAACTCGTCTATTCGCAGTTCAACAGTTGCTGGGCTGTGAACACAACCCGATCCCCTCAGATCTAGACAGCTCCAGTAAAGACAGCGGCGAGCCATCAATGCTTGCAGGTTGGGGGGGTGCTGGGCTCGGGTCTCTAAACTCTTCCTTCGCATGACACAGATGCTCTGCAACCAGAGCACTTCTTCAACCCTCTGCTACGTGCTCAGAGGTGGTTCGACAAACAGCCTCTCTGAGAATTGACAAAAGACCTGACACGTGACCTGCAAATACAACAGGTGCAACTTGCGCAAGGATGCAAAACAACATGCACATGATTCTTGAAGCCACGGCGCCTCGCCCCAAACTGTGCCGTTTGTGCCAACCTGCAACTTTCTGCAAGCACAACATGTGCAGTGTGCAGCTCTAGATCTGGGCAAACATCCACATCGCGTTCAACACAAACTGTTTTGGTCTCTGTGTCGGAAAGTTGACCCTGGATGCCTGCCTTGCTGTTCAGGACTACGAGGCCCTTTGAGAGAATATACCTGTGCTGCAGCAGAGCAGGCATGGAAACTTAGCAGGTACCAAGTGACGGATGCAATCCGAGATGCAAGACCTGGATGTTGTCAAAGCTCTCTCGCTGGGCAAACGCTCCACAACGCAGCTGCCTCAATGCTGAAGGCAACAGTACGTCGTGCACAGTGCACAGTTCTCCAAGCACTTACTGCGCTCAAACTGAACTGCACTGCTCTTTGCTTCTCTCTGGTGGTCTTCTATGGTCTTCTGCCGCACATGCATGTGCGGCCATGCATCGGCATGTGCCTTCTGCCCTCTCGCTTTCTACCTGGCCTGGAGGTGTCGGCGATGCAGACGCGGTAAGGGTCCGTGTCGATGCCGCGGCTCTCAGCGATCTCAATCTGCGCCATAAACTGCCTCGGCGACTGGGTCTTTTCAGTGGGCCTTGGAGGAAGTCTGTTTGGGACAACTGTCGCCAAATAAAACTGGTGCATCCAATGTCCAACATTGTCCAACACAACAGCCCGCGCGCTTTCCTGCAAATCAAGCTGCGAGAAAAAAGTGACTTTCTGGATCCAGGGCAGGTTCCTGGTTCGCAGGTATCATGTTCAGTCGCTAGACACTAGGCCTTCCACAGTGACGTCTCTCCGACCAACCGGAGAACTGCTAAGCAATAGTCACCTTCGTTCCAAGATGGGCATGCGCGCGCACTGTCAGGCCGCCAGGCGAAGTGCCCGCGACCGGGTCATGTCGTCAGAAGGCGTTGTCAGGAAGGATCTTGCATGTGTATGCTTCGGATCTGAATGCCTTGTACGGAAAGCCGGGAAGGAAGAGAAACATGCACGGATAGGTCCCGGAGTCGGAAAAAACAAAAGCTCGCTTACGATCAGCTTCTGCATTCTAAGCTACTAGCTTTACTAGCTTATCAGACACATACCTGGGCGCAGGGCCTTGCACTTGTTTGGGGTCTGGATGGCCCATGCTGCTACCGAGCATCATCTCTGTGCAAACCTCTGATTGGAGCTGTGGGCTCATGTTGTCCAGAAGCTTTTGTCGCACAACCTCGGGCTTGGAAGCATTGGCAACTCGTCGGCCGTTGCGGATAGAGCAAGGTATGCCCATCCTGAAAAAACTCGGCGATCACGAAGTAGTTGTAGACATCTTACAGGAACGAACGACTGGCTTCTGTCAGCGAGAACCTTGCCCACAGCGTGCCTAAGTTTTGCCCAGACACGTACTGCGCTTGGTGTCGGTTCTGCCTGAATGGAAACAACTCTGCAGCAAGATTCCTTCAGAACTGCTCTGCTGTACTTGAGATGACCTAGAAGTTGAAATGCATCGACTTTTTAATGTAAGGGTTGGTAAACGTAGCCTCATCGGCCTTTGGAGTCGCCTTCCTTGCCCAACCGCCCGCGATCACGTGAACAAACGAAGTCACACTGCTGGGTGGTGCTGAACAGTCAGAGCGAAAAACGAAGAAGGAGCTGGATACCTCATGTAAGTTTGCGGAATCCACCAAAGCACATGCTGAAGACAAACCGGAAGTTCTATCAAAGTCCCTGCCAAAGCCTGCCAGCCTTTCACCAATGCAGTATAGCTGCAGGAAGAAGCTGCGGAGGCGTCGTCGCAGATCGTGTGGGAGCCCCTGCTCCTCGTGGATTTTGCAACTATCCCAGGCATCGATTTTCCCGAAAGCACAACCAGACGGAACAGTGTGTCAGAGAAGCCTGAAGACTCACTTCAATAGCATGGGTGATTGCCGAAGCCCGCTTCACGAGTCCGCTGTGCGAGTACGTCTTCGGAAATTAGGGCATTGATGAGATGAATCCTGGGAACCTATTACCCAACACTTGTTTCTACAGGAACTGCACAGAAGACGAATGCCGCAAACGACTCAGATGGGATTTGAAGCTCGCCAAGTAGGATTGTGGTGTCTGCACATGGCAATGGCCTGCATCATCATGTTCAAGCTGTTCCTGGGCAAACTGAACAGGGAACCAAACCCCAGACCTAGGTTTTGGCAAAAGCTGTGGAAGCATGATTGGTAGGTTGGTCGATCTTGAAGCTCATTAACCCACTCTCTTGTACGGGGAGCTTGCATGAACAAACGAAGTTGTTCTGCGACGCTGCGATATCAATCCTGGCGGGAGGCAGCCGGTCACAACTCGACGATATGAAGGGCACCCTTGATTCTGAATGCAACATGCAGATTTCGATTCATCCTTTCATGCTCATAGATTGGATGTCGTGCACGACACGACGACATGCGCTTCTGCCGCCGGGCGGTCTGTCGCGAAATCACGCCATCTTTACCTCCGACAGAACAGTATACGGCCCCAAAGTTTGCGCGTACATCAAAAAACTGAGGGACCGGGGGCAGTGTTCGGAAAGCCCGGGTCGGTGCTGACGGTCCGTCTTGAGCATTGCACGAGATACTCTTTGTCTTTGCAAACGAATATTCGGCTGCACCATAAACCTACATCCGCCACGCTTCATCTTCTTTCGGAATGCAGACGTCTCGGCATTCCTTGGTGGCTGAGGGGTGAGCTGTGCAAAGTCGCACGATCATGTCTTGCTCGACAGAGAACATGTGGCCAGCACTTCCCATTCTCAACATCCATAAGAAGGAATTCGACTGATGCAAATATGTGGCAAAGTCTGCTACTAGTTCCCTGGACACAGCCAACCTCAACTGTATGCTGCTAACTGTTAACCCGAGAGCCGAAGGAGACTAATAGACAAGCTTCATGTCAGAGGAGATGGCACACACCTCTCCCAGTATCTGCGCCCAACAAAGGCCTCTCCAGGTGAGGGGTAATGCGAGGTCTGCCTAAACAGAAAGGTCGTACATGTCGACTTTGGGACATGTAAGGCAGATTTAACGCGGACAATCTGAGGACCTTTTGACGAGCCTGCTATTACCGCGCCCCTTTAAAAGCAGAAGTTTGAGGTTTCCTCGGAATCCTCTTTGCAGATCGGAGCAGCAGCCCGGCCCCCGGCCCGGCCGGCCCCCGGCCTGCAACGAGGACGATGATGGTACAAACAATGCCTCGGAGCAGCAGCGAGGAAGCAGTTCCTTCGGAAAGGCGTTCAGCACGTTCTGCCCATCGCTTGCCGTCCCCGGGGTCTCTAGCTCGCGGCCGAGATACGCTCGAGGATATTTTGAGGACCCAGGTCACCATAGCCCACCGAGGTCATCGTGTAGCTGCAGAAATAGAAGGACCTGTCGAAGGATCTGCTGATTTGGATCCTGAATGCGGTTTTAAGGCAAAAGGAATCTGGTTTTCCATAAACCCAGGGGTATGCAAACATAAGCCACGCAACCGTGAAGACTCGGACCCGGATCGGCTTTCAACCCCAAGCCGCCCAAGCCGTCGCGTCTTGACAGTATACCCAAGCTGAAACGCCTTGAGCCGAAGTCGAAGGAACCGGTCGAAATCAGCAGCCGAGGCAGCCGAGGCACGCAATGTACACTCGTATCGGACTGGTTTCAATGCCAAAGCGGGCATCCGATGCAGCGATGTCATCGATCCACTTTGGGATGTCATCGTTGACCTTCGTCTGTGGATGCATGAGGCTTCGCCGGGGTTGTTCGCAGCCCTTTGGTTAGAAGGAACCTGTCGAGCGAATCAGTGAAGCAAAAGCGAAGCAGCTTCTCGATGTGTCTGCGCTATGCACAGCAGCATTCGCTCCACGGTCTGGCAGCTGGACCGAAGAAGTTGGGATGTTCACGAATGGGCCGAGCCAGTCGCTACAGGCTTGCTCCCAGGCCCGCGCTCTCATGCTAAGCTCCTGCAACCTCGACATGCTGGAGCTGCCGGATCTTAAGTGGATGTTCGAGCATACAATGCACTTCAGGTTGACCGGAATCTTGTTGCGGGGAGCGACAAATGCCTGACTTCGGCACTTATCCTGTGACTGACCTGGTCCGAGGCACAAGGTGCAAGCACATGGCCCAGAAGCATGATAA